GTTAGAAAATATTAAGCTTTAATAAAGAAAAAGCAAATGCCCGAAATTTGCAGTTCTGAAATCTAATTTAGTCGATCTTACCTTGCACAAAATTAGCCAGGAGAAGGCAGCATAATTTAATAAATAAAAAGCCCATTGTCCTTCAGCAAAATTCAGACAGCATTCTTCATTCTGTTGCTTGTGTAGAGATCTCGCATAAGTGAAAGGGGTTAAATATTAACATGAATGTTTTCATTTAAGGCTTCATCTGGCTTCCCGCAATGCTTAGCATATTTATTCTGCAGTAATGCTGTTTAGCCTCAGAAGAAATGTCCTCTGCTTCACAATAATGAGAGAAAACTTGAGCTTCTCCAAATTTTTGTAGCCACTGTTCTGAGACAGCCTTTAAAGGACTGAAATCAGTCTTTCAAATATGTAGGGAGTACATTGCTGTGATTATAAATAGTATTGCTTTACCTCAGAGGCTTTAACCTCTGTGCTGCTAAGAGAGTGTGCTAGATGCTGAGAACTGGAAAGGAAACTAACCCTCTCTCCTCCTCCTCCTCCCATTCTTCTTAACTCTTTGCCTGCTGAAACTTTCCAACTTGCTGCAAATAAGTATAGCAAAGAATTGCCTCGGGGCCTTTCTGGTGTCTGGAATCTAAGAAGAAAACGAATGAACAAGTCGTCTTAGACTGACTGTTTACTACGTTATTACTCTGATAAAGGTTTGGGAGGGGTAGTAAGTGAAAAGTTAACAGTTTAAATTTACTGGATTTATGAAGCTTTGGGGTGCTAGAAATGCTAGTAAGAAAGTTGGTATGTTTTGTACCTTCACAGATAGAAATAGAAAGCTGGTCAGAAAAAAATACAGAGAGAACCTAGAAGTGAATTAAGGCACAACTGCAGGTACTGCAGATGCAAAATTACCATTGACTTCAAAGGAAGTTCTGTAAATCATTCCTCATCTTAAGCAGTATTTTTATATGGATGCTCTAACTTTTGAGTGAAAAGTTAACGTTCTGTGAACTAGTACAGAGAAGACTTTTTCTCCTCTTCCGAAGTCATCATTCCCCCTTTGCCCCATTGCCACCCTACTCAGACGTAGAAAATGATGCTCATCAAAGCTTACGCTACCGAACTTCCAATGAGCAAACTGGAAAAGCATCTCTCCCAGAACATATGTTTAGTTAAAGATTGTTGTGTTTTGTATCTCCCTGTTAATATATCAGCTTGTGGTGGATGGGCTGGCAAATGAACAGCGATTTGGTCCCTGATTGAATAGGGCATCTGTTCAATTTGCCTTTCTAAATACTGCCCTGTTTAAAGAAGGACAATCAGGTTGTCGTGATATATGTTCTGTAATCTGGTGGGAGCTGTTTTGGAAAATTATTTGTGTTTTTATGCATTTCCTAGTAATGCTCATATTTAAGAGGCCTGGAGGAATTAGCTTACTATTTATGATTTGGGAATAGGATTTCACGTTTCTTGTAGGACATTAAACAGTAAGGAGGTAAAAACCTAGATATGAAAGCATAATTTAGCTGTTATTTATTTGTGTTAGAACTTCAGTAGTCATGGATGGGACTACATCATCTTAGACGCTATACACACAAATCTATTGTCTGTAAAAAGTAGTTTGCGGTAAGAAATAAGGTACAGACTTTGTCTTATGTTGCTGAAATTTAGAGTAGAAAAAAAGTTTTAGAATCAGAGAAATCTTCATAAAGTAAAATTTCATTATTACTAAAAGTATTTTATCCTCTAAGAAAGAGAAAAACTCTTCCCCGTGTTAAAATGACTTGAAATTTAAAAGATTGTAATTATTCTAAAAAGTAATTTCTCTATTACTTTTACTAGTTTAACTGCGAAAGATGTCATCTGTGCCTAAGCTAATATGCCTTTTACAGCTCTTAAACCATTAGAAGAGTTTGCTGTTTTTTTCTTCTGTAAAGTTGATACCTATATGTAGGATACGTAAACGTATGATTATCAGATTTTGAAGACTTTTTGATTAATCCTCCTATGCATGCACACCCTTTAATTCCTTGATGCAAGTATGTTAAGCCATTTTGAATAGGCTTTTATAATTGGATCTTGAAAAGGCTTTTGCACAAAAATTATACAGTTTTTCCATTGTCTGCTTCAGTCAGCATCCTACTTTTCTACAGTTACAGCTTGAATCGTGCATAAAGATTTGCCAGCTGCTGTTTTAGTGCTTTTATCCATTGCAAATAGTGTTCAAATGTAGTCTGATATAGGGATGTCTTCTGGTCAAGACGCTGCAAAGACAAGAACTACTGCGCAGTATAAACTAGGTACAGAAAAGAAGACCGCGTGATATCTTAAGACAAACATCTGCCCCAGAAGAACTTCATCTGAAAATGCAACCTTTCTCAGTTTGCAAAACTTGAATTACTTTTTGCTTTTTATCTCAGCATTCCAAAATGTTGAGATAAAATCCCTTTTTTGCATAAAGGGAAAGTTGGGTTTTTTTAAATCGGAATTAAAACTTTGCATTCAACAGTGCTGATAATTAAAAAATATTTGATGTTCATCCAAATAATAAATAGTACCTACTGCAGTTAGTGAAACATGGGAAAATGGAGTGGGTTCTGTGTGTATAATTTGCTATAATTAAAATGTTTGGAAGGGCTTGGTCATTCCCTGTAACATAATTTGGCTGTTGTCATGGCAAGAAATTATCTGTTCCAGTGAATGAAAATAGGACACTGTCTTCATTTCCTCCTTTCTTCTAAATACTTTCCATTTCAGAACTGTTCCACCTGTGTTTTCCAGATGGCAACCCTGGGTGGTTTTCATCTAAAAGCATAAATTAAGACAAGTTGTTTGTTTGTTTGTTTTACATGTAATATTTGTTCAAGTCCTCTTACATAAACTTTTAGTTGCAGGAAATGTCCACTTATTTTCAAGTGCCTGACAGAATAGGCTTTAAAAAACTATTGCAAATATTGACTTTAAGTCAGTGGCCCATAGGAGGATGTCTGTGTTTGAATCTGTATTCAGAAAACATCCAATTAGAAATGAAAGCCTAGGGCTTCTTTAGAATCAAGAAGACTACCAGTCAGTCCTACTTTTGCTTGAAGACTAATTGTCTTGATTTTCTAGTCTTCTTGCTCGCAAGGTTGGTATTTCTAACAGTAGCCTATTGGGTAGTAATAGAAAAATTTGGTCTACTCTCCTGTTTTGTGTAAAACTTACTATTTTGCCCGATTTATTTAGTATTTTAATCTCTATAACCACTGCTTTTCTTTCATAGCATCTCTGACCACTTGTATTCATACACATATCCTTTTATTTGTTTAATTCCTGCTACAAATAAATGTACAAATAAATAAACTACAACCTTTCTAAACCTTCGTTTAGAAAACGGAAGAGTAGCAACACAGGCAGCATAATCTTATTTTGCAGATTAACAGAAAGCTTTTGGATTTACTAAAAGAACTAGAAAAAGGGAAGTTGAGATCTTAGATAAGAAAATATCATCATACTCAATTTGCTGGGTTTACCAGATAATTGAAAATATGTGCAGTGAAGCCTCTGGGTATTCAACCAACAAACAAATATGAAATTACATTAAAAGAGTACATATATAATCCAGATTAATTAAATGAATGTACTTTGAAATTGTAAAATTGTGTATAGTGTTTAATAAATCAGATGAAGGAGAGTGAGATGGTCAGGCTGGATTAAGGCCCTCTGAATACTACTTTTGTGACTCACTTTTATTCCCACAGTCATCTTCTAAAAATATTAAGTTTGCCTGTTTAATTGTTGAGGGGAACATTTTTTTTTAGTTCTGCCTATTTTACACTTAGAGAAATGACATCTTTAGTCTTGTTCCTAGTCAATATAAAGGAATTACTGCTTTCAGGTGTTGTTTCTTCTATGGCTATTACCAAGCTGAAAGACAAATTCTAGAACACAGTAGCATAATGTTTGCATTTTAATCACATGCATTCATAAATTAAAAAAAAAAAGACAAAATACTTTATTTAGTTTTTTTAGTTTCAGTTTTCAGCTAGGGAACTACTCAGCAAACTTGAGTAGTTCCTAGTTAGGACTACTTTTTTTGATCTCATCACTGTACTTCTTATGCTAGAAGAATTAAGAACCCATGAGCAGAAAATATACAGTGGAACCTGAAGAGCCTAAAGAAAAAGAATCAGTTAAGAATGTCATTCACGAAGGACTGTGTGAAATAAATATGCAATTTCCATAGCCTTTTTGCCCGGAATGCTTCTGAACTTCTTTTAGACTGTGCTATGCAGATGGATATGTGAGCTGCTTGTAAATGTGGTTACCAAAGCTCACGATTCATTACTAAAATAAGTGTTTCTCCTTTCCTCGAAGAGGAATACTATCATTCGGAATTACTGTGCTCAGTGATAAAAACTACTGAGATTTTCCCCCTGATATTTTAAGTGAGCAGCTGTATTAGACTGTATTAAAAAAGAACTACTGTTGAAAAAGATGAAGAAAAGGGCAAAGGGAAGGTATGGAGAACTCCTTGGAGATTTTAAACACAGGATTACTTTTAACAAAGGTTCACCAACATAAAGATCTTGAAAAATTACTGATTTTGTCTTTTTTTGCCTTGAAGTGTGGGGTTCCTTTTCAAGAGGAAGATGTGATTATCCTTAATGGTAATAAAGAAGATGTGGAAATATTGAAGAAAAGGATGGAGGATAGAAGACTTAAAAGTAAACTAGAAAAGGTAATCTTTTTATATTGTTTGAAAACAATTGCAGTACTTCTTATCTGTAATGAAAACTTCTATTAGATCACATAGCCTTTTTTGCTAACCTTTACATATAGACTGCAGGATTTACTCAGTAACCTGCACTGTCCTTCAGTGCTAGTTTTAAAAGTAAAATTCACTCTCACAAGATTGCCCTGCTACTTCTGGTTTAAGAATGGGAGGACAATACTGTAAATCTTATGCTGTCTTTTCAGATGGTTTTCTCATTCTTCTTTTCAGTACTTTGTAACTGAATATGTAAAAGGGCTTTAAAGATGATTTGGAGATAAAATACTGCAGATCCCAGGAGATGAGTAATCAACCCCAAAAATAGTGATCACTGCACTCCATTTTTGTTAGGAAGGTAGCCCTTGCTGTAGATTAGGTCTGCCTGTGGCTTTGGCTAGAATGATCTGGAATAGTCTGAAAGGTGATTTAGTTCCCAGCTCCTTCTCTATCTACAAGATAGAGAAGAAGTACCAAAGATTGCTGAGCACTTCTGCGTCTTAATGTGACAGCACAGTTGTTTGTGGTGGCACACCAGAGGAGATTATGCTCTGGTCTTTGGACTTTTA